GCAGATATCCACGATGTTTGAGACAGAGAGTGTAAGTTTCCCCCCCATGAAATCCTTTCTCAAGGGGTCAGAGACAGACACCAAAGTCAGCCGCTCCCCCATCTGAAGGAGAAGTGGCTATGGGGGTGCAGACAAGAGATTCAGCCCCCCTTTTAGCCAGACCTGAACTCTCAGGTGCCGTTTTCAACAAAGAGTCACAAGATCTGGGAGACATTTCCTCTAAAACAGGGTGTGCTTCACCAAGGCTGAGTGTGTGAGTGTGTGGTGTGTGTGTGTGTGTGTGTGTGTGTGAGTGTATAACATCTGTGCATTTGCACGGGATAGTAGAAGGGTTGCAGGGAGGGGGCCTGTGCATGGCACAGCTTCCTGTAGATGGAAATCAGTTCTGTCTGGGAAGAAGAATCAAAATGGGAAATTAGCCAGATATCTACAGTAGGACAGAGTCAGGAAACACTCTCCTATCCTGAAGAATAAATCTCATAGTCTTCAAAGAAGGAACAGGGAATTTGAGCACTGAGATGAAGGAGGAAGGGAGTGCCTGACATCTTGGATTGGGCACTTAGTGCAAACTGGGGTCCTTGAACCAGTGATCTGCTCCAAGGGGGACTTAAAAAACAGAGGCCGTATCTGTAGGAGAAGGGCATATTAACGATGAGAAGCCACTTCCGCTGAAGGAACTGAAGCAGCCGTAAGAACTTCAGAAAAGGAGAGTGTGATATATACTCAGTGTCTAGCTGACCAATACTATCCCTGGGATGCAAGACAAGGCTAGCAGCCACATAATTTGCGGTGGTCTGAGGCATAAAACACACCATCTTCATAGGCAAGTCCAGGGAAGGTACCCAGATACTTCAGTGACATAATGTTTGCTGTTACCCTCAATATGCTACTTAAAAGAGAATTTTAATAGAGGGAGAATACAATGGAGAAAATATATTGTTACTTAAGCCCCAAACTACTGTGAGTATTACCAGCTGTCTTACCACGCCCACCACCATTGCAATAGTCTTCTAACTGGTCTCCTTGCTTCCAGTCCAAAACCCATCACATGCCGTGTAAATGTGTCTAAAGCACTATTTTAGTTATATCTCTACGCTATTCAGAAATTCTCCAAAGACTTTCTCTCTACCAAAAAGATAAACCTCCATTCCTTCAGCCTAGCTTTCAAAGCCCTCTATAATATCACTTCAAATTTGCTTTCTAGTCTAACTGCAGATTATTTCCATAAATTCTTCTCCGACCTAATCATTATATTCCAAAAACAGGTCTCTGGAAAATTCTCTCAAATTCTGTTTGTCAATAGAATTCAATCAACCTGGAATCTCCTCCTCCTCCTGATCAATCTAAATTCTACTCTTCTTTTAGGATTCCACTCAAATCTCACCTCACCCGAAATCATTTACTTACACGTCCTGAAGCGTTCTCCCTCTCCCGTGAATCTTTTTAAATAACCAAATAACTGTGCATAAATTTATCAATTAATCATTGTCAATTCATTTTTTAGTTAACAAGTTGCCCTTGTGCTATTACTTCTGTTCTTATCTTAAACTGTTATTGAAACGGTTGTATTTTTACTTAACTTTTTATTATGGTGAAACAAGCACTGATTTAGTGTCATTCGGTCAAAAATCACTTTGGAGAAGTAAAT